TAACCTCAGTTAGACATCTGCTTCGTCATAGTTTGGGACTCTTCAGCAGTACGGACCCACTAGAGAAATGCGAACCCAGGACCCCCTGGTTACGAGGCAGCCTCGTAGACCATCAAGCCACTAAGAATCAATCCCAATGGTCTCATTGCTGCTTAAGGAGGTGGAGATGCAGTCAGCATGATTGACACAAACTCGAAAAGGAGAGCAGATGTGGGCTCAGACCACCATCTAAGTCAAGTAACCTTCAAGGTGAAGCTGAAATCCTTCAGAAAAACTGGGGACAGACCACAATTCAAGTTCACCATTCAGAAACTGAAGGAGAAAACTACAAGGGATGCCTTCACTACAGATGAGATCAGAGCAAAGTCAGAGACACTAGGCGGTACTACTGAGGTAACCTACATAAAAGAACACTGGAGATCAGTGAAGGTGATGTTCGAGGAAACATGTACAACCATTCTAGGAAGAAAGAAGCGACAAGACAGGCGATGGCTCTTAACGGATGCCTAGAAGCTAACAAAAGAGAGGAGGACGGTGAAAGAAATGACTCAATGCAAAGATGCACAATAGACGGAGAAGCTAAGATTAAAGTGCCGTGCACTGAATAAAGAAGTCAAGAATACTGCTAGGAAAGATAAAAGATGATTCTGCGACACAATGCCTAGCAGTTGAGGCAGGACAAGCAGGCTTCAGGTAAAAGAAACCTCAGAACATTATATCAGGTAACCACGTCTCGATCAGGGAAGAGATCGACCCAGATGATGAAACCAACAAAAGATGTTCAAGGGAACCTGATTGACAAGGAGGAGAAACAAATAAAACAATGGACTGACCACCTCAGAGGACTTTTGAATCGACCATCACATGCAAATTGCCCAAAAATACACACCCATTAACAGCACACACAGAACTACCTGTCAGTGTACACAGATTATCCAACGAAAGCAGAAATTCTGAATGCGATCAAGCTACTAAACGCCGTCCAGTAAGGCAGCAGGATCAGACGGAATTCCCCCCGAAGCACTGAAAACGGAAACAAAGACTGCAGCAAATATGCTGACGCCATTACTGTAAAAAGGTTAGGAAGGAAGGACTGATTGGAAGAAAGGCTTGCTTGTCAAGCTACGAAAGAAGGGAGACTTACACCTCTGCAAGAATTGGCGCGGAATCATGGTCTTGTCCACGCCAAGTAAAATACTGAATCGCATCACCCTGAGAAGACTAAAAGATGCACTGGATGCAGAACTACCCTCGGATTCAGGAAAGGTAAATCATATGCTGATTAAATCACAACCCAACGCATCATCATCACCCAGGGCATAGAATGGCAGTCAAATCTCTGTCTCAACTTCATCAACTTTGATACAGCCTTCGACAAACAGCGTTTACCGAGAAGACATTTGGAAACTGCTCCAACACTATGGGATGCGGTGCATCAAATCTTTATGAACCTCATTCAACAGTCAGATATGTGACAATAAAACGTGTCAGGCGATACACAACGAATAACTCAGCGAAGCCTTTGAAGTGAATACGGGAGTAAGACACGGCTGCCTGTGATGATATTTCTAATTGTGGTGGACTAGATTATATGGCACACTGTGAGCGGGCAGCGAGAAGACAGGAATACGTTGGACCACAGATAAGAAAACTCTAGAAGATCTGGATTCCGCCTATGATTGGTGTTTAGTGTCAAATAAACCCGTAGACTTGCAGGCGAGAAACAATAAATTGATAGGAGAAGGAGCGGAGACAGGACAAGAATACAAGTGACTATACTGAAGATGGAGATGATGAAGACAACCAACCAACCAACAACAACTAGCCCATATCACAGTTAACGGAATGGATTTGAAAGAGGTCACTTTCTTCACCTATCTGGAGAGCATCAATTCAACCACAGGCACTTGGAACGGACAAAGATGTCAAAGGCAGCCAGAATAGGAAAGCCAAGATACACCTTCATCACTCTGAAATCAGTTCGGAAATCTTTTGAACTCAGCAGAAAGAAAAAAACATTCGGATTTTTAACACAACTGTGGAGTTAGTTCTTCTATATGGGTCAGAAACTTGCACTGCGTGTCACGAAAAGGATTTCCAACAAGTTACAGACTTTTATCAACAGCTGCCCACTTCTCTGGCTCCATACTAAAGATCAAATGGGCGGCCAGGAAGAATTAGCAACAAGAAACTCTAGTTGGGAACAAACCAGCTAACAACGGATTGCTCAACAAATATGTAGGAGAAAATGGAGATGGATCGGGCACACGTTGAGGAAACCATCGTATAACATTGCGCGCCAGGCCACTGCTCGATTGAAATCCAAATAGGAAACAACTGGTGAGTCGCCCGAGGGTGACACGGAAGAGATTATGGGCAACAGTGGACCCAGCTGAAGAGAACAGCAGAAAATTTAACAAAGAGGAGATGTGTTTTTGAAGTCCTACGTTCCACTCGGAACTCAAGGGAATAATGATAATAATAATGTCTACTAGACAGCATCAACAAGCTAAAGTATATTAAGATTTTCCAACTATTCTGTTTTCATTTAGCCTTCATGGTTCAGTAGATTAATGGGTAATGCTTTGACGTTTGAAACGATGAATGATGGGTTCGAGTCCCAGTGACAGTAACATCAATCATTGGGTAGGAAGGCGACGAGCTACAAATAAGACGAAACGCCAGTACTGAATTTCATTGCCAATAATCATGCGAATATCGAGGCATCCCTTAAACGAGTTTCTAAAGCAAGTCAATTCATGTCATTCAACTTTACTGTAATGTTGCTTCTTTCGTCCTGAAGAAAGAGCATACGAATGGAAATATGTACATAGTATTACCCCAAAAGTGTAGTAGTTTGGTAAGAGAAATGAAGACCTAATGAACTGTCGTCAAGATTTGACAGAATAGTTCCAAAATATTTGGGCGCCGAGTGAGAAGTAGACATTTGTAAAAGATTATATTTGTAAAATCTCAGCGAGATTGAAATGAGTAATTCCAACGTTTCGTTCGGCAATCTGGTCCGAACTTCTTCAGGGAAATTAATCGAAATTAATATAACACAGGTTTATATATATAAAAGGAACATCACTTGTCTTTAAAAACTTTGCCCAATCATGAGTCATTCAACAAGTATAATAAACAAAATTTTATGAGCTGTGATCAAAATTTGACCTCGGACTTACAAATATTGGTCTACCTTTGTTAAACACTTTAAACAGAGTGTGTATGTGTGTGTGTGTGGGTAAACAGTTGTAAAACATTTCTTAACGTCTCCATAAGAAGATATGGACAGTCGAGAATTTTGACCAAGTATTAATCATTAGTGATACATGTCCATTTTGTTATTTATTAATAAGGATTTCCTATGCACCAGCTAACATCACGCCTTCATGTCTGTTCAAACTGTTAGTATCTAGAATTTTATGATTAGACGTATTTTAAATTATGGTGTTTAAGGATTAGAGTTTAGTAGAAGCACCCTGTCGGACTTATTGCTTTGTCTTCTTTCTGAAGGTTGAGCTGCTTTGTTCGACCTACTGGAGTTGTCAGGTGACTGGACAGCTACGGATTGAGGATATACATTCTGTTGCAGACAACGGAGAGTGATGTTCCTTTTATATATAAACCTCTGTTATGTTAATTTCGATTAATTTCCCTGAAGAAGTTCGGACCAGATTGCCGAAAGAAACGTTGGAATTACTCATTTCAATCTCGCTGAGATTTTACAAATATAATTTTTTACAAATGAAGACCTGTTCAGTAGATTAGGCAACATATGTATGATTGAATAGAATAAATTAAGAATGTAAGAGGCCTATGACACACTGATACAAATACCACTAGGTAGGACTTTTCTGATGAATGAAAATAGAATAAAGTCTGCTACATTCGTACTGCACTACAATTGCACAATGTTGCAAAAATATAATAATAATAATAAGGGAGACAGGAAGTGGATGATGCAGTACATGTAAAACTTAATAGACATTAATATTTAGGTATTTATTTTATTCGGTTTCTATAGGACACTGTTGGACACAGTAATACACTACTGACTTTATAATATTTACATGACTAATGCATCGCTTACAATCATTGAATTTTTGAATTATACTAGTTAGGTTAGGTGGACAGGTCACGATATGTTAAATCAAGACTGACTAGATAAGGTCATCAGGATACGTGAAATTCTAACTTAAATTTCAAAATGATACATTTATTACTATTTATACTTAAAATCAGTTATCGGATTGCATGCACTGATGACGGGCAAACACAACACAACATAATCGGGGATAGACTGACATGACACAGACATCTAATAAACTTCAGTTGAGAGAAAAGAACACAGTCTCTGTCGACGGATGCCTCGACAATATCTGGAGTCATTTAGTGGATAATGACTAACAGTGAAATCCATGATGCGCATTTCGTCCCATTTGGGACTCGTTAGCTGAATGTGCCCGCAATCCCCAATGACTGAGTGATAGTTTTCCCACTGAGAAACGAATCCAGTGTCCATTGTTTCAAACACCAAAGTGTTAACCACCAGACCACTAAAGCATCACATAGCAATGCAGTTACATCCAGATGATGAGTCCCACAGAGGACGCGAAACAGCTGTTCAGTACTCCTCGGTTTCCAGTAGTTTTCTAAACTAACCACAAAAATCCATCAAATCCCTACAAGTTAACAACCAAAATGAACATGTTATATGTTAAAGTTGCTTAGAAATGTTCGCTAACATTCAAAAAAAAAACAACAACAACAAGAGACTACACATAAACACAGAAGAAACGAAGTCAAGTGGAAAATCTAGAAGGATGAAGAGATGAGGAAAACAACGCAGTAATTAAAACAATCATTTAATCGCCAAATAATAATTTTCATAGCAATAACATCAACATCAACAGCAAAAAGAGGAAACGAAAAATCAACTAGTTAATGGCTGACAGAGACATAGAGAGCATAGGAAGGTAAAAAAAGGAGCAACTTACAGCGTATCGAGCGAGTACATTTGAGCCTGCACCCATTCCAAAGCCTAAGAAATAATTTATCCTATAAAGTGTACATAAACAAAAATAACAACAACAAGTAAACAAAAAGAAAAGTTAAAATCAACAATTATTTCCTCATGCATAACGAAAACAACAGTGCAAACATCAACAAGGCATCATTGTTAATCTCAATTGTGAATAAAAATAAACTCATAAAAAGTCAAGAGTTATTCCAATTCCACATCACTACATTCTTCACACACATATAGGACGGGTACATTATTACTACTCCCAAGGGTTCCAAGTGGAACATAGGACTTCAACAGAACATCTCCATTTCAACCAGTTCTCTGCAGCCCTCTTTAGCTGGCTACTCTATTACCTATAGGCTTTCCCTTTATCCTCCTCCAAGTAACCCTCGCACTGTTACTCAACTGTTCGTTTCCCGTATGAGTTGCCCTTGAGGGACCTGGCGCATTACGTCACTCAACAGTCTCTGCACCATGTGTCCTGTCCGTCTCCATTTTATTCGGGATATTTGTAAAGCAATAGGTTCTCGGTGGGTTCGTTCCCACTTTTTTCTGTTGCCAATCCATTCTGGTTATCTAATCAGTATAGATCCAAGGCAGTTGCTGATAAAAGTCTGTAGTCCGTTGAAAACGACCCAAGTCACTGATGCATACCGAAGAACTGACTTAACATTTTTGCTGAAAATCAGGACACCGTTCTTTATTGCTGAGTGCAGACGATTTCCACACTGGTTTCAGATTAATGAAGGCCTACCTTCCCTTTAAAATAGTGCCTTTGACATTCTCATCTGTGCCACCTACACAGTTGAAATAATGCTGTCTATATTAGTGTAAGAAGTGACCTCTTTCAAATTTATTCCGTTGATAGTGATTGATGCTGGTTGTTGTTGTTGCTGGTTGGTCGGTTATCTGCACCACCTTCGTTTTCAATATATGCACTTGGAGTCCTGTCATCGCTGCCGACCTCTTCCGCCAGTTTTTTGGTTCTCACCTGTAAGTCTTCGAGTCTGTGTGTGTGACACTAAACATAAGTCATGGGCAGAATTCAGATCTTCTACAGTATTTTCATCGGTCCAGCGTATTTCTGTATTATCATTCCCCAGTAACAGTCCGATGCATAATCCACTTTACTACAATTAGGAATATCATCGTGGATGATGATAGACAGACAGCCTTGTCTTACTCCTGTATTCACTTCAAACGCTTCACTGAGTTTTCCGTGGTGGATCACCTGACACGCGCGATTGTTCAATAGGCAGCTATTGATGAGATTGATAAGGATTTGACGCACTGCACTCCATAGTGTTGAAGTAGTTGCTAATTTACTTCTTGGTCAACGCTGTCAAAGGCCTTGCCGAAGTCGATGAAGTTAAGGTACAGGTTTGACTGCCATTCTATGCTATGTTCGATGATGATGATGCGCAGTTGATTTGCTTTTCGGATGGGGGAGAATATGTTGAAAAAGAAACATGAAGGAGCAAATAATTTATTTCTTCGCCACATTCACCAACATATTACTTAACTCATGGAATAAATTCCTGGAACATCTCAGTTACACATGCATAGCAGTGACAGTGCATATCTACTTCAATGATAAAGATTAATTAACCTCCAACATGCAGACGATACAATATTAATATGCAATCAAATACAGGCTACCTAAATCGCAATCATTGGGTTTATTCCCTGGTTACTCTCTTGAGAAGGGAAAGTTAGAAGTAGTTAAGAACGCCGTGGCAGGTGTGACAAATGAAATCGAAATACAGGGAACCATATGGAAATCTGAGTCACATCTGTTGTCATCTTGATGTCACGCTTTAGTCATAAAATATCGGATTTACAACGCGTTTAGTCGTGGAAAGCTTTTGGAAAAGTAGTCTACGTTTGATTATTACTGTGTTCACAGATTCGTCTGGTAACGCATATTGGAATAAAATGACTGCTGTCTATCAATATGTGAGATCGTCTTCATGGCTAGAATGTATACGACTAATGCTATAGAAGTCGCTTTAATGTTGCCCACAATCTCTTTGTCTTCTATTCAGTTGAAAGAAGAAGAGGTGATGTCTAACTGCCACCATTGTGACTGAGAAATCGAAATTCAGGGTAGTAATATGCAACTTGTTGGCTTAAGAAATCATGTGATAAGAATGAAACTTTCATGTCTTCTTCACTACCATAAGTAATTAAAATCGAAGCGCACAACTTTCAGTATACTTCTCAATGTGAATTTTTGCCGTTTTGTTCCTTTATACTAGAAGTGATTTTATCTCTGCTATTTATATTTCTACTTTTCTGTTATGCATTTCATGGTCACCATAACGTACTCATTTGTAAAAAAAGGTCGACAGATACCCTTCTCATCTTAACAACTCCAACGGTGAATACAAATTCACATGTATCTGCGGAAGCAGTTATATTGGTAAAACAGGAAGAAGGGCACACCTCCGATTTTCTGAATATATACCGAAAAGCCTATGTTTCAGGGGAACAGATGCTTCCAACAGCGCCATTACCAGGCATCTCCTTTAAAAATTATCAATAGACAGAAAAGGTCAATTCTCCTTAAGTTTACTGAAGCAATCTTTATCAAACGTCTGAAACCCAATGTATGTGTTCAGGAAGAAGCAGTTAGTCAGTCCTTCCTTGCTCATTCTGGTAACTGAATGTCTCTGTTGTCTTTTTCATTAGATTACATAATCTTTGGCTTTAATCTCATCCCCAACTTTTGATGAAGTATAATTTCGCCTGTCTCTTGTCTTTTGATTCTTTGATTTGAGTTGAACTCAGTACATTGTTACCTAATTTATTAGTCACTTATCATTTTACGCATTTCTCGTCCTTATTACGTAACTCCTTTACCAATGTATGCATGCATTTACTTATTTATTTTTTTTTAAATTTTGATTACAACTTGATGCCACACCGTATTTTCAGTACAAGTATGGCATTTTCAGCATGGATATCGGTAGCCCAAATTTAGCAGGCCAACCATAGATATCAGGTGTGTGTCGGCAGGGGATCGAACCCCGGACCATGTGCATGGTCGGCGGGAGTCCTAACCACTGTGCCACCGACGCACTTTGTTTAAACTTGAACTGCCTGTGTAAAAACCATATAAGCGTAATTTTCTGAGTACTGTTCACTAATTCTGAAACCTCCTGTCAACTGATATCATGTAAACATTTGCAAGTATGTTAAAACGTTTCTGTTCATGAACTTATTAGTAATTTAATTAGACTGTAAGCAGCTGACGAGAAGCCAACAAAATAAACAATGATGGTACCACCCGATTCTGCACAAACCACTATTGCTCTTGCTTCATTCAAATTCATCAAGTGGAATAAATGTATCAAGTACAAATTTTGTCTTTAAATAAATAAATGAATTAAATAGCGATTATGTTTCAAAGTCCTGAAGATGGAGACAAAGAGGGATAGAGAATTCTTTCAGAGTGTAAAAAATCGAGCTGCTTAATCAAATTCACCATGTTAAGCAATATGCTTATCATGATCGGATCGTATACAGGTTTAAACGGATCAAGTAGTGTGTACTAGTCACTGAAACTGTTCAGTTCAGAAAACACAGAAATCACAAATATCCAAATCTCTGAAAATAATTTAATTCCAACCCCGCCGAAAAAACGAAACTATAAAGGAAAACATACAACAGTATGTTGAAAATCTTTCGCGTGACCACCTAGTACAATTACATACATAAATCTTTTTGGCTACACAGATAACCACGCAGGTGAGACGAGATGATTAAAATTAGAATATATATGTGTATTTTTTTTCCTCAGCAGAGTTTCATCTGTTATCCATTTCTAGTCCAGATGTGTTTCAAGAGGAAAGACCCAATTGTCTCCATCAAAAGCAATATTAGGTTTATTATCACTATAAGAATTTCAACATTTATTTACCATTGAATCGAAAAACCAAAACGATATTATCTGTGTTTTTTTTTCCGCTGACATTTGGCAATTTTTAATTGCACCAAACAATTCAACTGCGCTTATGCAGCGAGTTATATTGGCCGTTACTCTAGGAACTTGATTTTTCGTGCTCCCTCAGGAACATCCACCAGTGTGGATAAGTAAAGGTGTAGTAAAAACCATCAACAGTCTGATATTAGCCCACCTGGTCTAAACTGGCCGGCCACAAAGCCAGCATTGAAGAATCCTTCTCTATCATCATCTATAGGGTATCAAATAAACTGTCGAAAACAATCGACGTACCGAATGCTCCAAACACCAGAGGCTATCGTGATTCACGTGAAACAACCGGTGGTTTGTGTGCGGAAGATGCAAGTCCAGCCAGTCACTACTACTGCATTGGCCGGCCTTCAGTGAAGAATATAAATCTGTGAATTTGTATTATCATTATTTTTCCTAATTTTTCTGATATTCAGTGTATTGTTTTGTTGATACTATCGAACTGTATTCCACTGACATTATTACTATTATTGATTCGATGTTATTTGAACAATACTGATGTTGTTAATAGTACTAATTCATTCACTATTACGTATGTATATATAACTGTAGGACCTGATGAAGAAGGGGTTATCGGAAAGAATATTCTTTGTTCAGTGACCATTCTTTTGAAATATTTTTAATGCTCCCAAAAAGCCTTATTAAAGCAAAATACAGTATAGCGGAAGTAAAAGGGAACCTACAAAATGAACTGCTATCGTTTATTGAACCGGGAGTTCTATGTGGATATAGTTTAGTCATCTGTCAAACATATTAGCTTGGAGATTCTTGGTCAACATTTACCAAAAAGAGGTTTGATTACTAGTAAACGATACGTAATCTTGATCTAAACCTAACAAAATTTCGCCTTTATTAGCGTTCATCGTCGATAAACTTCAAAAATGTTTTTATATTCGGAAGTTACCATCCAGTTCCAAAGTAAAAGACTTGAGCATATTACTACTCTTCATTTGATATATATGGTTATTCAGTATCAAGAACTAGATGACGATGATGGAAATAATAGACCACAATATGTGCTCTACTCGGTACCGTAGAACAACTTGAGCTGTAACCTACGGATGTTTGGCATGCGATTCGCTCCCACTAAGTGCAAGATGATGTTACAGGATTGGACTACACTGACTCCTAGATTAGAAATAGGAAGTGAAGTGGTAGAGCACGTTGATCACTTCACTTACTTGCGAAGTACCATCAGCCCCAACGGGTTGATAGCTGACGAAATCCCAACACGGATACAGAGGGCTAGTTTCGCATATGCCAGTTTACGCAATCTCTGGCGAAGACGTGATATCCGACTATCGACCAAAGGGCGTGTTTACTGCTAAGCAGTCCGCTCCGTCCTCCTTTATGGCTGTGAGATCCGGCCATTGATAGTGGAAGACATGAAAAGATTAGCTGTCTTTGATCATAGTTCTATCTTCCGTGTGTGTGAAGTGGTATAATAAAGTGAGCAATATTGAGGTTAGGCATCGAGTGAGTGCTAGGTAAGGAGGGGAAATCAATCGACGAGGCTGTGAAGCTACATCGACTGAGATGGTGGTTAGGATATGTGTGACGTATGCCTAGTCATCGCCTTCCTCGACAGTGGGCAATGTTAGCTGATATGATATAGGGTCAGGCTGGAAAAGAGCTAGCGACGGTCAAACTAAAACATGGCACCAGTCAATGAAATCTACAACAGTTAGTCTAGGCTACGTAGGAAGGTGTAGAGTGGCTTCCTGGTTGGGGTCCTTGAGACGATAATAACCAATGGTTGGAAACAATTGGTGATATGGCTCAAAATCGTTCTCAGTGGCACAGATGCATCCACTCCTTGTGACTTATGATTTCCAATGAAACTGTTTTGTTTTAATGTTTTAATCATTCAGTTATATCCTTGAGTCACGAAATGTACGTGAGCACATTTTGAATTGGCTGTGCATTTATGTGAAACGAAGGAAAAATATCACAAGTGGCTGGTTTTCACTTTAGGTTGAACAGCATTGTGTCACGCGATATACCGCTTTCTCACTTCTTTGTGTTCCGAGTAGAAAATAGGGTTGCTAGCCTCAAAAGAAACTTACCCTTTTCAATCGGTTTACTACTAGCTTAGAAGTTCATCGGCTAGGAATCGAACCACAGACCATGTGCATGGTTTGTGGGCGTTCTACTAATGAATCAGCGGGGCACGCAATATATTACCGATTACTATTTCACTCGAAGATCCTAGACGAGGAGGAAATATACGGTAATAAATTACGCTAAGAATTTTGTACACCGTGTAAACATTTTGTCCAGAATAAAGATGTTATTATTATTATTCTAATATTCGTAACCTGGAGTAATAATAGGTTAACTAAATGAAGTCAACCTACCACAGTTCTTTCAACCAGCTCAATAGTTCGATGAAGGTAACAGTGAAATCCTCTCTTACAGTGAATTTATTCAACACTATAACCGAAATAGCTAAGTCTTTCTGTTTAAATAATAACAGAATATCTATGTTTTTCCTTCTTTGAGGACGAATTTCTACTTCCCGTGTCCTTCCTCCCGTACGGTGTTCAGTCTATTCAAAAAGTCGCAGGTTTGCACAAAATTCAGGTATCAATAAATGTTACCCATGAATTTATACCTTAATAATAATGATAATTATAGCAATGACAGTAATAAAGTGAAATAAACATTTACCCGAAATGAACAAGTATCGATGTGATCATATCGGCCAACTGATCCATATCCGGATAACGAGAACTGATAAAGACATTAGAGAGAGAGAGAAAACAACATGTCAAGAAAACAAAACACAATTCCATGAAATGATATAAACAGTACTCACATGATATATGCATATAACGTGAGGTTCATGTACATGCACACTGGATGATCATTAAGTTTATAAAGCCCTGACTTATCAGTTCATATCATCAACAATTAATCATCAGAAAGTTGGTTTGTGCCGATTGGATTTATTTCAGTTTTGACCGCGGATTGATGTCAGTTAGAGAAGCATTGAAAACCATCAGGAAGTCCGGACAGCTGTTTTATTCTAGTTTGGGACTCATCGTCTGTATGCACCCACCAGATTTCAGACCCAGGACCTTCCTGTTCCAAAGCAAGTTTGAATTCATGGAGCATTGAATGAGGCACCAGTGGCTAAATGCTCTAGGAACACACCTCGTCACCGGAAGGCCCTGAGTTCGAGCACAGACGGGTGCGTAATGATGACGAGTCCCACACTAGGACGAAACAGATCTCCAATACTTCCTGATTTTCGATGGTTCTCTAACCGATATCGATCCTCGGTCAAACTTAAAACAACAGTTAATCGATAATAAATCATGCAAGAAGGTGAGTTCAATCTATTTGAAGAAAGCAATGGTCACTACTGTTCATTTAAACAGTTATAAAGCTGAAATTCATGAAGTAAAGTTATAGGATTAAGTTGTGCACTTGTTACTGTTCAACCGAAACAAAGTGCTTTGCAAACGACAGGAGAAGCAGAGATTTCAACTAAAGTGGAAAATTTAAAAAACTGTAGTAGTTTTCCTCATAACTATTATTATTGAAATTTGAGATAATCAGTAACTATGCCACAGTATCAAAATGAAATATAACCCTACTGTGTAATTAGTCTAGAAGTTGGCATATTACAGCATTAGATAACAAAGACAAGTTAGATAGTCATTTTGTAAAGAAAGATCAATCATGAAATTCAGTGACGTGTCGTGGGGGGAAGGAAGGTTGCAAAGTGGCTTTTAAATACAGTAAGATTCTTTCCTTGCCTTCTAGTTATTTAATATCAGTGTTAATATTCAACATATCGAGTTAACTACCCAGAAGTGGCTTTAGAAATAAAAATAAAAGTTGTAAATTACGTAGTGCTCAACGGCACAAAGGAAGAAGGGTATTAGAAATTTGATAAGGTTAGAATTGCTATGGTGTGAGAATGAAGATAGTTGAGTGTCAATTTAACAAGTATGAAGAGAGTGTGGAAATGTATATATATATATATATATATATATACATATATATATATATACTGACCAGACGGCCCAAATGAACAAGACACTTATCTGAAACGACCATTTTCCGACAAATTGATGGTGTAGCTATGGGCTCCTCATTAGGTCCAATCCTAGCTGATTTTTTCCTCGCTAAGTTAGATAATAGACCACTGAAAGGAGTAATTAATGACTTGGATTTCAACTGTCGATATATGGATGATCCATTTCTGGTTATGAAAGACGAGAATGATGCAATGAACACCCTAGTCAAGTTTAATGATGCCCTTTCAGCAATAAACTTTACCATAGGGAAAGAAAGTGATGCCAATATCTCATTCCTAGACGTCTTCATGGCGAGGAAAGAAGATGGCACACTAAGAAGGAGTGTGTATAGGAAACCTACAACAACAGGTCAGTACACTCAATTTTAGAGTTTTGTACCTTTGAAATATAAACGTAACCTGGTAAAGTGTCTGGTTCATAGAGCCAGGTTAATCTATTCAGACGACTACCTCAATGAGGAGCTTACGATTATCAGAGAATTACTTAGAAAAAATGGTTATCCAGATAAATTCATTGAGAAAAATATGAATTGAGTACCTAGAAGAGTCAGTATAGCAGCAGTTCCGAAAAAACCAATGTTCATAAAACTGCAGTACCTCGGAGACAACATCAGCGAAATAATAACACAGCGCCTGAAGAATGCAGTTAAAAGAGCTTATTATGCAGCATAGGTACGTTGTCTCTTCAAAACCACCCCTATTCTATGTTCGAGAAATAAGGATAAACTACCTAAATTTGCCTCCGTTATGTGTATGTACCAGTTTGACTGCGGCTGCGGAGCCAGCTACATTGGGCGTACAATTCGGCAGGTTCATCATAGTATTTCCGAGCATCATCCAACATGGTTTAGGAAGGGACAAACAAGATCTATTCGTAGCTCTATTTTAGCACACCTTGTAGATAGTGAGCATAATGTTGACGTTAATACTGCATTTAAAATTACTTATCGCATTCCTACTAATCTTAATTTTGATTTACGAGTTCGTCTTCTACATACAACAGCTGAAGCAATAGGAATCCACCTGAAGAAGCCAAACCTGTATGTTCAGAAGAAATTTGTACAGCCACTTTCCTTGCCTAGGCCATCGTTACATGACTGTATAAACCGGACCATTTCGCCCCCCTCCCCCTAGACCTATAAAAATTATAATTGTCCAAAGAATTTTATTTTTCTGACCACTTCATCTTTATTTACGTGTTATCCTTGTAAAATTAATTTATTCTAACCATTTCTACCTTTTAAATGTGTATTGAAGTTCTTCGTTTATTATCAACCCATTGACATTTTGACGCTAACTAATTAATGTTAACAAACATATCGCCACTTGATTGGTAAACTGTTGTGCATTGTAATAAAAATGCTATACGTGTATATTAGAGTAGAGCCAGAGATGAGGATCTAATTGAAAAGTAAATATTTCTTAGCTCAATATTTCTGTTTTCTAAATGTCTAAATCTGGATTTTTTCTATATTGACATTTTCCGACTGTTTGACTTCAGGCTTAATCTACAAATTAGAAGAGTGAAATCGCTAAACTATATACGCAGATTTGCTCCAGAAAAAAAAAGAAACTTCCTGAGGAACTTATTCTCCATGAATGCAGAAAAGCTTATTCACACCAATGGTTTGAAATCAGCCTTTTTCTACTCTCTCTCTCAGATGAGCCTTTTGCATCCATTAATCTCGTGATGAACAGAGAGCACTCATATTCACCATTTCACGCATTTGTAGAAATAGCCTACACTGCCGTGTGAAAGTACTTTGAATGCAAGAACAAAGCCTATCAACTTTCACCAAATGAAATATACTAATCGTATAATGAATGGATGCATGCATGAATAACTTGAAGAAAAGCCGTACAACCAACCCATTTAATGTAGAAAAAAATACCACACAATACAATTAATGCAGAAATATGTTTAATCACATGAAACAATTGAAATTAAATCTGGAAACCACTTGACTATTTCACTAACAACAACATCAACATCAACACTAATAATATAAAAACGAAAACAAAAAAAAAAATTGTTTCATGAATTAGAAGGTGAGAAAGTAAAATATGCTGTCGGTAGAAAATTACCATCAAATTTTTATTTTTCTCTCTTTTTTCAGTTTTTTTTTTTACAAATGTGTTAACTATTTACTGACTAGGTGAAAAAAATACAATTCAGCAGAGAAGAAAAGTAAGAGAATAGATTAGAATGCAAATCTATGCATCATCTCATTGAAAAGGGCATAGAATTGCAGCCAAACCTCTATCTCAATTTCATCGATTTTGCAAGAGCCTTCGACAGCGTTTTCCGAGAAGTCATTTAGGAACTACTTCAACACTATGGCATACCAAAAATCTTCATCAAAATCACTTAATAACTGGCTATATGATGATGCCACATGTCAGATGATCCGCTACGGAAAACTCACGGAAGCTTTTGAAGTAAAAACAGAAGTAAGGCACGGCTGACTGCCTATTATCACCCACGATGATATTCCTAATTATGGTGGACTGGATTATGCGTCAGACTGTGACTGGGGAATGATAATACAGAAATACGTTGGACAGGTAAAAAGACTCTAGAAGATGTGAATTTCGCAGATGATTTTTGTGTGATGTCACAAAAACAGACTCGAAGACTTATTGGCTGAAGAAGCAGTCAGGGAAGACAGGACTGCAGATGAATATAGAGAAGATGGAGGTGATGAAGAAAACAGACCAACCAACCAATAACAATAACAATAAAAACAACCAGCACCAATCACTATAAACGGGAGGAGTTTGAAACACGTCACTCCCTTCAATTATCCGACTAGGAAGCACGGTTTCGACCACAGGCCAGTGGAATGGATGAAGATAACAAAGCCAACCAGAATCGGAAAGGCAAGATACGCCTTCATCACTCTCAAATCAGTTTGCAGATCTTCTTCACTCCACATCATGAAGAACAAATTTCGGATTTTCAACACCGAAGTCAAATCACTCCTTCTATATTGGTCAAAAACTTAGCGAATCACTTAAAGCATTTCCAAAAGGTCACACACCTATATCAACAGCTGTCGTCGCTCCGTATTGCAGGTCACATGTCCAGGAAGAATAAGCATCAAGAAACTTTTGGAAAAAACCAATCAAGAACACATCGATCAACAAATATGCTGAGGAAAATGGAGATGGATCGGACACACACATTGAAGAGAGCGTTGAATGACATCGCGCTCCAAGCTATCACTCGAGTAAAACCCGAATGGGAGCCAACGAGTCTGGTTGCGAGTCCGAGGGTGACATGGAGGAGGTCGTCCTAGGAGATGAGAGACTGTGAGCAATCGTAGGCCCAACTAAAGAAGACAGTAGAAAACAGAACGAAGTGCAGACGTGCTGCTGAAATCGCATGTTCCACTCGAAACCCAAAGGAACAATTATAATAAGTAATTGTATAGATGTAATGAATGATTACTGAAGGTAAAATCAATATCTAAGTAGCGAAGAGATTTGAACCAGTGGCCTCTGTGAGTCATTAGTCCAGTTCTCTACCGACTGAGATAAAAGACCAAGCTGGTAGCCATGTCAACCTTGCATTACAATCACTTGTAACCAATGTGAAGAATCCTGAACTCTGCATACAAAAGAAGTTTGTTCAGTCACTAAATCTACAATGGTCCTGATCTATCTTAACACCAAATACGTAATT